GTAGTTCAATTAACTTTTGAATGTAACTATAAAAAAAAAATGTGACCTACGCACTTTGATCTACCTGTAGCAGTAGGGTTAGAATGAAATTCATTATTTATGTGTACACTTGACTTCACATGAGAAATCTCACTTGTTTGTTTGAAGGTTCAGGTTTTTTTTTCTGGTTCTTTTTGTTCTCATCCCTGTATGTATAATTTTGTAAATAAAGAAATATTGTGAACCATTGTAACTTTTGTTTTTAACTTAACAGAAGTTTTTATATTTGGAGATCAGACAAGAGTTAAACATTAATGGTGTAGTCTGTCACCTATATAATGTGGTAGATATACATCTCAGTCAGTATAAAGGCATGATTTAAAGGTTATATACATTTTTCGTGTTTGCAGGTTTCTTGTGCTCACGACGTCAGGAGGAATTATGGATCACGAAGAGGCAAGAAGGAAACACTTAGGTGGAAAGATTTTGGGATTTTTCTTCTAAAGGTTTTGTAAAAATGAATGGGCAAGTAATAAAAGTATGCCACATATTTCGTTTTTTGTTTTTATTGGCCGTTATATGTGTATTTTGTGCAAAAACATTGAAACGCTTCAACTTTTAAAGAATATCTAAAAAAAATTAACTTGCTTGTTTATTTACATGTACATTTTAAAAAGTACTGGTTATTTTCAAAAACAATCAATAGAAATTTTATCCTTATGTTTACACACAAGTCAAAGTGTAACATGCTGCTTTGCTGAAACCTTTTATTTTTTCTGTCAATTCTACAAAAGACTCATTTCACTGCTGTGCTTCACAATGTGGTCATCAAAACATCATCTCGGGAAGCCAGACAAATGGAATTTTGTTTCATAAAAATACTTAGAATGTCTACTGTTTATTACTTTTTAATCAAACTGAAAATTATTTTTTTTAAAGTAAAATCTAATTGAAGTTTCAACCTTGTGTGTTAACAAATTTTATTTAAAAAGATGATAAATGAACTAATACTGAAGCTTTTAGCTTTCTGAATATCACAAAGTAAGTTTTTATTTTGGTATATTTAGTCAGGAGGAAGTTTCTAAATTTTAGTTGTCGTATACTTCATAAAATACTTTATATAAAGCAGTTTTGATTTGATTGTAGATAGAGAAGGGCCAAAAAAAAAGCTTTCAGTGATTTTTTCCAATTATAGTTTGAATCCACTTCATATAAGTAGGAACGTATGTGTATATGCCTGGTTGCATCGCTGCGGCACAAGCACCACCAGTTGATACTAGTCCCACCAAGTACCAAGTATCTCCGACAGATGTCACCATCGGACCACCACTATCTCCCTAAAATATAAAAGTTGGACATTAGAAATGTTTACGTTGTTATATAGCCAAAACATTATTATTAATGTAATGTTATGACTAGTAGATACCAGCAATAAAATTACATATTGTTAGGGTATTAATGGTATTCGTTTGCCAGTCTATTATAATTTTATTTACAACTATTTGGACAATGTTGCAGGTACAAGTCATGGCAGTGTGAATAGTACGTTAGTACCAATAGATACTTGAGAAAGGAGTAAGCAATATTAGTTCATATAACAACAATTTAAAGAAGGAAAACTTTAATATCCTCTATCTAGACAGAAGAGTTCTTACAACAGGGAAATGAGGGGCTCTAAAATCAAAGCATTTCAGAATAACATGGGCAGGTGGTTAGGGTGCTCGACTCGCAATCTGTGGGTCACAGGTTCGAATCCCCATCACACCAAAGATGCTTGCCCTTTCAGCCGTGGGGGCATTATAATGTGACGGGCAATCCCACTATTCGTTAGTAAAAGAGTTGGCGGTGAGTGGTGATGACTTAGCTGCTTTCCCTCTAGTCTTACACTGCTAAATTATGGATGGCTAGCGCAGATAGGTCTCGTGCAGATTTGCGCTAAATCCATAAACAAACGGAACAACATTATCTACAGAGAGAAGGATATATATATACACACACGCAAGTACAGTTGACATTTTAAAAATATTCGATTTTTTTTATTATTTTCGAAAAGCACCCACTTAATTATTGAACATATTGTTCAGTACTGCACTTTCAAAGTTAGACGTGATCATGTGTAATTTTCAAAGTACGTATACATCAATTTAAATTACCTTACGATGACAGTGGCTCCATCGGCACCAGGGTGCTTGACGACTCGTAGTGATCAACCAGGATTACCGTGATTTCAACCGATATATCTGTTTTTCTTTTTAAATTAAAATAATTAAATGAAAATATAATGGTACAATAAAACATCATTATATTTGTTTTAACTTCATAAAAATCAAACCTAAAAATTTCCACTGTAACTTCCATGAAGTACGGCAAGGTCAGTTTTTTGTCCACTTCTATAAAATTGCCATAGATGTTAAGACCACATACTAACTGACCAAAGAACTTAGTATAATTACGGCCATGGGATTTTACGTTATTGATTACTACGATAAAGTCAAAGCCTCTGTAGACCTAACCAAATGTGAATTGTTTTAAAGGCATTGAACACCATTTCAAAATATTAATTTGCACATTATAAATAAACGTATAGTTGTAACTCGTAGCAACACAAAATGGGTCTCAAAGAAACGGGTCTGGTATTGGTTGTTGTTGTTGTTTTTTAACCCTCTTAATTTTAATATCAAATGAAATATAATTTTTTTACTGTAGTTATATAAACATAGATCACAAGATGTTTCTGAACAGAGTAAAGTAAAATGACAACACCTTGCATGAATCATGGCCTCCTTTGGTGAAACCTGCACACAGCATTGTAGTTTTATCTATCTTTAACAAGTCTTCTTCGTAAGTTTGTTTGCAGCTTCTAAAACTAACCACTGGAACCATAACTTGTTTTAGTTCTTCATGAAAACCAGTGCCTATAATTATATAAGCATGTATAAAGAAAGACCAGATGTTTGGAATAGTATATACACACGTTCACACTTGATTTTTAGAGGAATGAAGAAATAAATGTATTTGTGTACAATCACTTTGATATGTTACTACAACAGTTTTTTCTAAAACAAGGGATTTTCTGTACACTTGTCACCAAAAGCATTTTTAGAATGTATTTTTTAGTTGCAATGGTGGCACAAACCACCTTGTTATAGACTTAGTTCCCTGTTTGTAGAATGTGAATAACACAGGCCCCCGATGGTTTTATTGTCTTGATATTGTTACATGTTCTACAGTAATTCCTGTACACTGAATCCGAAAATGATATCCGTTTTTCTCCATCACTTAAAGATTTTTCACAAAACTTCATAACGCAATACATAAAAGAAAGACCACAACACGTGGTGTTGAGACCAAAAGACGTATATTTCACAAAAAAAAAAAAGTCAGGATGAATTAGAATGCATATTCGTTTGACATCAATGTTCTTCCCTTTTCTTCAGTTTGTTTGCATTTTTGTTAACAAACATAATAATAATAATAAAAATGTTCTATTATGGTAAACGAAATATAATTTGAATCTGAGCAAGAGTTTTATTTCTTCCCTATTTGTAAAAATCCTTA